GTGTCTTGAATGGCCCCATGGGTTTGTGCTTATAGCCTATTGACCAGAACTTGGCCACCTGACTATGGCTGGCTGCAAGGGGCACTGGGAAATGTAGTCTTTCTCAGGGAGCTAGGTGCCCCGGCAATGTTCAGGGATTTGTGTACAAAGGAAGAAGGTATCAATGGATATTTGGAGGGGGTGGGAGACATTGGAAGGCTCCCTGTGCGTCAAGGCCTAGAATTGCCAATGTTGGGGGGAGGCGTTAGATCTGGCCTCGTGTTGGGAACATCATCCGAACCAGAGACCCAGCTGGGTTTCAGGCACAGGGGCCAGGCTGAGATGCATTCATACATAAAATCTGTAACTTTTGCACCTGAGAAAGTTCCAGCCCATGACGCAGAGGAATCATGGGAGAGTGAATTCTGCCTCAGCCACTTCTAGCTCTGTGAGCACAAACAAGCAACTGGTCTCCTCCGAGCCTCCGTTTCTTCATCGGCAAAGCGGGTGTCACAATAGGATCTAGCTTTGGTATGGGTACTAAAGCGGCAAATACTCGTCTCCTCCTTCGGATGAACTGGTGGTGGGCACAGATGGTACGAGTGGTTTGCAATTGACTACCAACCTACACGCTCGAGGCTCAAGCCCACCCAGATGTACCACAGAAGAAAGACCAGGCAACCTGCTTCTGGGAACATCTTAGTCGAGAAACCCCCGTGGGGGGATGAGGGTTGAGTCTCCTCATCCACCTGCCACGGGGCAGGTCTACCGTGTAACTCGAGGTCACTATGAGTCAGAGCAGCTTGAAGACTAGGGGGTAGAACGTGCCCACCAACTGCCATCAAGTCCAACTCTAACTCATCTTGACCCTCTAGGGCAGAGAGCTGCTCCCAAGGGTTTCTGAGAGTGGCAATCTGCAGAACAGGCAGTCTTGTCTTTCTCCCCTGGAGTCTAACCCACGGCGCCACCAGGGTGAGGTCCTTTGCCTTTCGGTGGCCCACGGCTGTGGTGTTGATTCCAGCACATAGCCACCTCATTTAGGCTGATTCTCAAGTCAAGGCTGTAAGTCTGTGTGGGAGCAGAGGGCCTCCTCTTCCTCCCTGAAGCACCCGGTTGGTTCAGATTGCTGGCTTCAGAGCCCACCGTGTAACCCACTAACCCGCTATGCCCCTAGGGTTCCTAAGGGTTCCAACACCCCCCCTCCCCCGAAACCTCACTGAGATCAAGTCAATGTCAATTTTAAAAATTTTATTTTTAAGGAATGCCGATTCTTTGGGATCCTATAGAACAGGGTACAACTATCACTCATTATGGGAGTAGAAAGTCCCATCTTTCTCCTGCGAGGTGGCTGGCGGTTTTGAACTTCTGATGTTAGGGTTAGCAGCCCAACTCTTACCACTACACCCCCAGGGCTCCTTGGGGAAACCTGCCCCAAACCCTCATGCATGCCCTAGGCTTTTCCGAGTGCCTGCGTTACTTCTCAGGTGGTCCCATGCTTCTGCAGCTGTTGCTAAGGAGCGCCCCCTGGAGTTTACCCAGGTGTCCAGGCGCCATGGTGCTCCTGCCCCCTCCTGACTCTTTGATGCTCCCCCCTCCCAATGCCCCTGACTCT